CCCATTTTGAATGACAAGAAATATGTGTATGTGCCGTGTGGCCTAGCAGATGGTACCTGTGGCTCCGCATGTGGAGCAGCCTGCGACGTGACTCTGGCTGCTGCTCACAATCCTGCCTCAAGGTGCTCTGCTGTGAGGGGCTGCTGCTTGTCACACCCCAGCCCCATGCACATTGGCCCTGGCAGAGCTAGACACAGCACTGAGAGAGCCAGAAAGGCTTCAGGAACTCAGGATCACTGAGAACTACAATGCTGATGCAATAACCTTAGGCATTTCCATCTCTCTGCAGGAAGTATATTACTTGATGCATCTTTTTTTCTCCATGGCAGTGTCATCCTGCATACAACACATGCAGCCACTCTGCTCCCATTTCTGCTGCCCCAAGCCTCCAGGTTAGCCAGCTCCTCACTCTGACACTGCTTCCCTGCACTGACAAGGGTCTCAGCATCATGTCACTGGCACAGGCTGCTAACAAAAGTGCCAGACCCAACCATTTCCCCTCCTTCCCCAGTGCAGCATTCCCTCTCCCAACACAATCCAGTCTCACTCCCTTTTATGCTTCTCCTATCCCATTATTATTTCCAGCTTCGGTAACGATCCAAGCGGTACCCAGGAAAACACTGAACTGAAACTCAGACACAAACCCATCTCTACCACTTTTCCTTGTCTAGAAGGTTGATTACCAAATAATTATAGTATGACTGTATTTTATTGCCTTGTCCATTTATCCTCCTCCTTACAAAATGTCTTTAACCCCTGGCGCATGAAGTAGATCAGGCAAATCTATAGGTACCTGGCTCTATCCATTCCCTAGATTTAAAACCAGGGACTGTGTTTCTCTGTAGTATTTGGATGCCCTCTGAAATTCAGCACATTTCAGAGAATTTGTCTGCTTGGGGGCTTGTTAGCACTTCTCCAAGCTCTGATAAGCAACTGCTCACTCTCCTCCTCAGATTCAGATCTTTCAGGGTTAGTGTCCACCCTCTGAAGTGACTGCTGTGTCTCACTGATCTTCAGTTTCTCCCATGATGGCCACCATTTTTTTTGAATCTGCTATGCTACCATACAGGAAACTTCCCCATCATGACTCCAACATGGAATGATACTGAGGTATCAGCCTATGCCTGAAGATAGCCTACAATGCCAATTTGGGGGTGTGCAATCTATACCTTGCTAAATTCCAAAACACTGGAAAACTGGAAAACACAGTAGAATAAATCCAAGCATCAACTTAGTTAACTATTTGTGATCCTTTTATGAAGGTAAATACCCACCCCAAGAGGCTTTCACCCTAAACTAAAATACCCCTTGTACCTTCCGTAGGCCTAAAAGCCTTAACTCAGCTATCAGCACCACTGACCGTCTCCCAGGCTAGAAGATAACCAGATGCTTCCAACACAAAATCCTATCATCCAAATAAAAAGGAAAATCAAGGGACTAAAATCTCACATTGAACCTCACAAGGGAGGTATCACGGACCACGCCAGCTGTTCTCAGAGTTAATTTAGTAAAGTTCTTTGTCTTAAATTGTATTTCAAGCTGCTTTTAAAGTGTTTCAAGTTGTCACTGGGTCTTCGGCTTCTTACTTTAAATAACTGTTGAGGACAATGTTTTTGTGAACATGTAGCCTACACGGAGAAGGTCAAAGACACAAGCAAACTCACTCCTCGATGGCCACTAGGCCACTCCTGGCTGTTGATATTCAAAAGGGTAATAAGTAGGACCAAAGAAACATCTCAACCATGTCAACTGCAGGCTTATCTCATTCTCCTGCTGTGCAGAATGAAACCCAAGCTGCCTTTGACACCTGAGGCTGAAAAGCACACAAACAAGCCCAAGAGCAGGCAAGTGGCACTCACGCAGCCGGTTGGGGTTAACGTGCTGTTTGAGCAGATCGATGGAGCCCAGGCTGACCACGAGGCGCCTCCCGAACCAGAAGGAGACGAGCGGGCCGTGCTTCTCGTGCAGGTTGCGCAGGAACTCGTGCAGGCTGCCGCTGGCCGTGATGTCCGGCAGGTTGCCATCCCTGCGGAGGGCAACGAGGGCGGCCGGTCACGAGCAGCACTGCTCGCCGCGTGCGAGCGCAGGGAGAGGGCGGCACTTACTTCTCGTCAGTGGGAGCCAAGCCGGGGATCCCCGACGCTTGCCTGGATGCCTAGGGAGCAAGAGGAAACGCGCATGGGCCTCCTGGAAGGGCGGCTTCAGGCTAGGGAGGTCTCGGAACGGCGAGACGCCGCCCGCGGGCCTCAGCGCCCGG